ATCCCCTGCAGATGACTCCAACCGCTGCCCTCCTTGAAGGAAAAATGACTTTTTTTTTTTCTGGATTAGACGTGTCCTTTTCTTAGTGACAGGTAAAATTGTGTAGTATGCAATGAGTATAAGAGTCTGTTTTTAATTCTCATCTCCAGAAAATCAATTAGCTACCTAGACATCTATTCAGATGGAACCTTGGTTTGGTAGCCAGGCCAGTGTGTAGGTGATTTACATCTACATAAGCTCTAAGCTTGTTCCTGCAGCCCTTTTCCTTTTTGCAAATTTCCCCGTGTGCCAGGTGAAATCCCTCAAACACCACTTGCAGATGCTCTTTTTGCTACTAGCCTTAAATGGCTAAACTAAGGAAATGATCCTATTAAAACCTTAGTAAATCTGTGCTCTCAAACTTAAATCAGCTTGAGTGTATTCTGGGAACAGTGAGTTGTAGGTAAGAGCATTTTCAAGAGAAAAAACTCATTGAAGATGAATTACACAGAGCTCTTGAGGTACATTGCTTCTGTGAGGAGACATTTTGCCTGGATTGCCCTGACTCTTCCACTTAGTAGGAGGTTTTAGTTGCTCAGTATTTTAGTTAACTAAGATAAAGTTCATGTGTTTTGAATTGTTTGTGCAGATCTCTGTTCAGAATTTTAAATAATGGTTCAGAAAGCATGGGGTTGAGTTAATGAAATCTTGAAAGTGAATGTAAGAACTTTGTCCTACAGAACTTAGTGGAAATTCCGAATAGGGAACATGTGAGTGGTTTCCTGGTCCACCTAAGGTTGTTTACTGGTGTTCCTGAATTGAACCAAGCAGTCTTTTTTCTAGTTGTACTTGTCTGTAGATAATTTGTTTCCTGCTGATAAGTTTATAAGAAGGGGGGGGGATAAAATATTTAAAAAACTGGTGGTTGACTAACTTTTAGCATAGCTTGGGGTCAAGTAAAATTTTGAAAAATATTTTGAATTTGGAATCTAAATCTAAAACACCCCTAAGATATTGGGGATACCTGTTTTGATTTCTTGCAGGTTGAGGAGGTATAAAGGAATAAAGGGGAAGAGGAACAAAAACTATGAGGAAAGATTTTGAAATACTAGTAAACTTTAATAGTGTGTATTTAATAACTAGGCTTCTACTGAGCAAGCCAAAGTCACCTCTGTTTTCAACTCTTAAGTGTGGGCAAACAAAAGCTTGGTGTCAGGTTAAAATTCCTGAGAGAATTGTCTCTAATGTAATCCATCCTAGCTATTTATTAGTAGTAAGCTTTGAGACATAATGAAATTGGAGTTCAGTTTCACAAAATTTTTAGGCAGAATAATTTTCCTGCAACCAACCTAAATTTTAATTGTATTTGGGCAAAGTAGAAGTCCAGATTTTGGAACAAGCTTACAAGTACATCTTAAGTGTAAATTTAGCTTTTATGGTTGTTTAAAAGAGGGTAGTGCATTATTTTCCCAGACCTTCATTGAAATTTCGACGTCTACAGTGGTGTGTGTGTGTGCGCGCGCGCGCGCATGTGCATATATATAGATTGTTTTAAAAGATGCATGTGATTTTACTATGTCTGAATTGTCGTTTTTTCAAGATTAGAATATATGTCTAAATATTTCATTAAGTTTTAAAAGCATAATGTACTAAAAGATATGCTAATTCAGCTAATCTATTCTAACATAGCAATACTTCAGAAGAAATACTTACTGAGGAAGGATTTTATTTTTTTATTTTATTTTTCCCCTAGTAAGCTGGTTTTGCTTGAAATACTCCAGGAGTAGTCTGCTCTTTAGTACCTGCTAGGCATGTGGCTTGCATAGAAATCATTCATATGTAAAACTTTGGAGAAGGGGTTTTATTATTTTCTTGTTTTAATCTCTTGGCAAAGTACTTGTTAGTGTATAGAAACATACATCATCTCATCTTTTGGGGTTACAGTTGTTCCCTTATTCATATTTGTTACTTGAATTTTGCTATTTCATGTAGTCATGTGATGTAAAGGTTAAAGGTTTAGGAATTATATCATTGATTTGGGCCACATAAGAAAAGATGTTGGTGAAGTTGTACATTGTCAGAACTGATTCCATGAAAACCATGAATACGTATCTCTTCACATGCTTTTGTTTTTTAAATAAAAAATTATTTGACTGTTGCTTGGACAAAGCACAGTACTTATTTAAAAAAAATTAGTTTCCCTTTATTGTAAGGTGGTAAACTTCTCTGCATGTTGCCTTTCTTTTCAAGATGGAAAATACTGGACATCTCTTTCACAAAAAGACTTTACAGAATGTAAGAAAGTTTTTTTGTCTGGGCCAAAATTGGAGCATGGAAGGGTTGTCTGTAGGATGATTTGGTTTCATGAACCTCCTTTTGCATAGCACTACTGTGATTATTTAATGCATTCTTTACCCTCACTAATTACGTATCATGTAATTTCTGTGTAGCTGTATGTGCTCTGTTTTTCAGGTGCTTTTCCTAGGGGTAACAGGTATATGAGTCACTCATACCAGGAATGTGAGTCACACGGGGCTTCAGTTCAGTGGTGTTATTAGAAAGTGAGATCATTTTCTTGGAGGGTTAGACCTTATGAACATTTTGATTTAGTTTGCATATTGCGTTGTTGTATATAAGTTTTTCCTTCAGCGTATCAGCCTTTCTTTGCCTTTGTGCTACCTTTAGAGGGTGCATAAGTATACTGGCAGTTCTCTTCAGTGTAGAAGCAACAGTTCTTTGAAATTTCATCTAATGTCATGTCATAGCCAAATCATTGATCTCCCTTTTTAGTTATACTTTTTATGAACGTGCTTTTCACTCTTCTATTTTACAAAGTAAAAGAGGAATTTACTTAAAATCTTAAAGATATTTGCGATTTTTAAAGTGAATGCCAGCTTTCCTGTCTCTTAGAGATGAGATGGGGTAGATGGTTGCTTTCAAGGGAGAAAAGAAAAAGGTGTTTTAAGTACTATAATGACATCACCTATTTGTGAATAGTCTAAAGCTTTCTTTTAGCATTTTTTTGTTTGTTTCAAGACTTTGGTATAATATAGGAACATAGCTCTCTGATAAGCAGCAAATGTTGCTGGGCTGGTGAAGAGGTAAATATGCTTTTTAAATTACTCCCACCTCCACTTCTCATGTAGGGATACTTGATATAATATGGGGCTTTTTTCTTGTTAAATATTTTAGAGTAGTAGTTTTTAACTCTGGCTGAGAACAGAATCTACTACAGCTGAAAACAACAACAATAAGCAGAAAGAAAGAAATGCTCTAGCATTGCTGGGCCTGCTGTAGAAGAATCCCAAGGTGAGACCTAAGCAATCGTATTTTTAGAAACTCCACAGGTGGTCAGATGGGCAACCAGGTTTGAGAAAAGTATTTAGAATTGGGTTTCAGGCTTCTTTCATTTGGAGATTGTTATTGGATTTGTTCTTAATAAATATGATGGAACATTTGGGAATGGAATGATTTGGTACTATGAAGCTTGGTTCCCAGACAACACCATAACAAAATGACTTTACTTTGGAAACATAAGTGTCTAAAAGCACTTGGGGGTGTCTCCAGTGTATGCAGTTATGATACTCAGTGTTTTTTCCTTTGAGCCCAAGTAGGCATCTTATTCTGAAAGGATTCCTAAATTCAAAGCAGTCTTCAATCAATGTAGCCCACTACTCTGCCTTTTATGTGATTAAAATAGTACTTTTATGATTATGTTGAATGTAAAAGGTATATTTTAATTTTGAAGTGATTCTTTTTTTTTTTTTTAATATATCTTTATTGATTTCAGAGAGAGGAAAGGAGAGGGGAGAGAGAGAGCTAGAAACATCAATGATGAGAGAGTCATTGATCAGCTGCAGCCCAGAACCTGGGCATGTGCCCTGACCGGGAATTGAACCCTGATCTCCTGGATCCTAGGTCGATGCTTAACCGCTGAGCCACTCCCGGCCGGGCTGAAGTGATGCTCTTAAGTAGGCTTGGGTAAACATAACTGGGATTACAAGAGGCTTTGGACTAAATGATCTGTAATGTCCTTCTAGCTCTAAGATTTTGTGATTTTAGAAATTCATTAGTGTGGGGACAGGACACTGGTTATAGTCACATTAAAAGATTATGTACATGTAT